GCCAAGACTGTGGACACCCTTCAGTAGAAACCCCAAGAGTCTCATGGTCACAGGGCTGGAGAGGAGCCCAGCCTGGGGGGGCACACACAGAGCTCAGGCAGTGGGCAGGGGTCCCTGACGTGCAGCGGGTGCTGCTGGCACTCAGGGTGGCTGCATGTCCCCAAACAAGCACAAACAGCCAGCTGGGAACAATCATCTCCTCTTGCCACCACCAGCACCGGCCTTAGCCCACAGCTCCAGGGAGGGTGGGTGTCAGGGGGACAGTGTCCCTGGGGCAGAGTCCTGTCAGGTCCTGGGCAATGCCATGGGACTGCCCGGGGATCCTGGTGCTGCTCTGGCTGGTGGCTGCCCTGGCTCAGAGGGCTGTTCTGGCCAGCAGCTCCAGGGGTTTCAGGGCTGGGGGTGGGAAGCGGGTGCTGCTGGGCTGGGGGCTGTGCCAGAGGTGGGCCCGGAGCACCTCGCCCACTGTGCGGCGGAAGGTCTGGCTGACGAAGCAGTAGAGGAAGAAGTTGAGGGTGGTGTTGAGCATGGCCACCATGTTGGCGATGTCCAAGGCCAGGTGCACGCGCCAGTCCCTCTTGACTGAGGCCACGTAGAGGTGACAGATCATGACAATGGTCCGGGGAGCCCAGAGCACAATGAAGACGGTGGTGACAGCCAGGAGGAGAGCTGTGGTCTTGCTCAGGCGGGGTCGGCCACCCCCAGAGCGCCTCCGCCGCTTCAGCTTGCGGATGATGATGGAGTTGGTGGCCAGGAAGATGCTGCAGGGCAAGAAGTAGATGGTGACACAGTGCACCCACTTGAGCACCATGTCCAAGGCGGTGGGGGGGTCGGCGTCACGCCACACGTCCAGCCACCAGTAGAAGGGGATGCCCGTGGCCAGAGCCACGGCAAAGACTGCCGCGATGATCCTGCGGGTGCGCCGGGGGTAGGACACGGCGCGGTACCGCAGCGGGTGGCACAGGGCCACGTAGCGGTCCATGGTCAGCAGCACAGTGACCCAGATGGAAGCGTGGTTGGCTGTGAACTCCAGCACGTTGACAGTGTGGATGAAGGCGCTGGGCACCGCCCGGGCCAGGATGGCCGTCTGCAGGATGAAACCCACAAAGATGATGAAGACTTGGGTGAGGATGTCGGAGGTGGTCAAGGCCAGCAGGTACCAGTAAGATGACTTCTTAGTCCTCGTGGCCAGGCGGGACAGGGCCACAGCAGTCAGGATATTCACTGGAGGGAGGGATTGATGTTTGGTGGCGAGACTCTGGGGCTCACCCCTCTCCCTGGAGCACCCAGGGGTGCCCAGTCTGTCCCAGGGCTGTAGGGCGAAGGGCCCCAGGCACCAGCTGGAGGGAGGGGAAGTTTTAAATATCCCGGGGTGGTGGGGATTTGCTGAGCTGATTAATCTCTTCCATGTGTCAGCCCAAGCAACGCAAATACCATCTGTCCCTGCTGCCGTGGCACCTGCCCTGCATCTGCGGGGGGGACGGGAGAGCAGCCTAGTGTCCCACACCCCTGAGAACTCTCCTCCCCTTTCCCAAAAACCCTGCAGCTGGGATGGGAGCTGGAGAGCACAGCCTGGGCTGAGAGTGCACAGCTCCCCTTTGCAGGGGTCAGTATTCAGGTGGGTGCTGCCCCCCATGCTCCCAAGCGGTCCCCTCTGTCCCGGACCCCTCACCTGGCAGCCCCAGCCCCAGCAGGACGCTGTAATACACAATGGGGAAGATTCCCACCATGCAGGGTGACCGCTCCAGCTCCGGCCGTGCTGCCTCGCCAGCCCACGCCACCGCCGTGCTGTTGGGCACCGGGACCATCGCCTTCTGCCACGGACCGGCTGCAGGGGGAGAGGGGAGAGTCAGGGGGCTCGGGGCAAGCTGGCTCCCACGGGGACAGAGATGCTGGCTGTCAGCCCGGGATGGGTGACACCTTCGTGGACCCAGAGGTGCCGGAGGGGGTCCCAGCGGTCCCAAGGGGGGGTCCCATCGGTGCCAGGGGGGGTTGGCTATCTCTAGTCTGCCAGCCGGGTCCTTTGCCAGCTCCTCAAGCAGGCACACAC